TCTCTCTCTCCACAAACAGCCTCGATTTCCCCCTCCCTCCGACAGTATCCCCGCTGAAGGACATGGTCAGTGTGACACGCGAGCGGAGGAGGAGGAGGAGGAAAACAGCCTGGCGGGCTTATCGTTATCCAGCTGGCGTAATCCCCTGTCCACCACGTCCCGGCGAAGGGACAGCCCCGGGAGCGCCTGGGCCGCCGCTCCTGTTGACAAACTATTTCGCCAAAAGACAGCAGGGGCACCTCACAGCCGCCACCGCGGAGTCCTAATCTGACATCAGCCACGAGAACAACAAAAAGTCCTAACCTCACACAAAATGGGCAACTGTGTAGGTGTGTGTGTGAGACAGAGAGCGTCCCCTTGCCATCAACCCGTGCAGACCATCTGTGCATTAAAGAGGCAACCTATTTAAAAGGGCTTTAATGTCTTCAGAAGGGCCGTAACCCCGGTCCTTGTAGGACCTCAGAAGACCCATCACACCCAGGCAGGAGGTCTCTTAATGTACCGAGCAGATGACAAGTATGCAGAGTTCTCACACACACACACACACACACACACACACATTAGCACAACTCAATCTGCAGGAAGTCCGCTCTCTCCCTCCCTCGCTTCTCTTCTCCTCTCTTAAAACATAAAAGGAGCCGAGATGTCAGAAATCTCATTAAAAGTAATGCCCTCCCCCTGCCTCCTCGCTCGTCTTCTCCGCTCTCCTGCTTTCTTTTCTAATGACCGGCTTGGAAAAATAAGAACCTGGCCGACGGCCCGCCGGAGCGCCCGGCCCGCCGCCTCGGAGCACTCGAGGCGGGGACACATTAAGTGCTCGGCGGCGTGGGGTCCCCGCGGCCTCACAATGTTAATCAAAAGGAACTCCTGCAGGTGGAACACCTCCCCCCCCCCACCCCCCCACAGAAACCACTTCTGGTCTAAACCCTCACGGGGTGAGAAACGCTCGGCCGCCTGACTAAATCATCTATACGAGCCTCTCTGGGAAAGCCAAGCGCAGTTCCTGAAAGACCCTTGGACACACACATCGGGCTCCAGGTTGCGCGTTAAGTAAATACGGGTCAACCCGTTTCTTTGTGGCGGCTCCCCGAGGTCAGATTAGCCTCCGGCCCACCCGGACGGCATAAAGCGGCGCCGTGTCCGTCAAACAGTCAACATCTCCAACAGGCGGGAGAGAGAGAGGAGAAGGGTTCTTGCTGTTATTTTGCATTATTTCAGGAGATCATGTTCGTGCAGGGGCGGCACGGTGGCGTGGGTGGTTTGCCCCGTCGCCTCACAGCAAGGAGGTCCTGGGTTCGACTCCGCCCAACGGCCTTTCTGCGTGGAGGCTGCGTGTTACTCCGGCCTCCTCCCACAGTGCACAGACTGGGGATCAGGTTGATTGGTGACACCGTAGGTGTGTGAGTGTGAATGGTTGTGTGTCTCTGCGATTGGCTGGCGACCAGTCCAGGATGGACCCCGTCTATCACCTGAAGTTGGCTGGGATGGACTCCCGCCCCCCCTGTGACCCTGTGTGCAGGATCGGTGGTTTTACGATGGATGGATGGATGTTCATACAGGAGGGAGGCTGCAGCCACAACACATGAATGATTCTGAACTATAAAAAGAAGAAATCGCTTTGAATGTGGTAAAGAGTTTATAACGAGTAGAAACAAAGAGGGTTATGTAGGCAGAACAGGGGTAAAGGCCATATTCCATCGACCCAGATAATATTGTGTATTGCGAGATTTGGGCCAAAAGGTAAACAGCAAATCAAAACTATCTAATTCTGTTTGAGCTTCGTAGTGGACTCCGGTCCCCACGTCACCGCCACGCCGAGGCAGTGTGTGTGTGTGTGTGTGTGTTGGCACAGATTTTGGGTAAAAGGGAGGTCATTCTGCTTGAATTCTTCACATCGAAGGCAAAGGGTCCTGTGAGTTTTTTTTGCAATATTGAGCCGCCACCCCCCCCCCCCCGCGAAAAATAATTAAACCTCATTGGAAATTTAATTTCGCGCTTCAAGGTGTTAAAAGAAAGTCAGGGTACAAAGCAAACAGAAGCCCTGGTAGTGGATAATTGGGGGAATCTCCTCCAAACCTACAGAAAAACCTCTCGAGACGAGTGAGACTCATCACCCGGGGGCCTCCCGGGTCCCTGCTGGAGGAGATTTCTTTATGGGGGGAGGAGGGGGGAATATCATCCAAAATACAGCTCTGAACAATTTGTTTTATTCAGAATGCAAAGCTCTCTCATCCATTCCTTCTGGTTCATCCTCCTGGTGGGCGACGGGCGTGCTGTGAATACAGAAACAAGGTGGCACCCAAAGGGGGGGGGGGGGGGGACGGAATCTGGGTCAGAGAGGGAAATGCCATCCGCCGCGTTGCCGTCTGTACTGAATGGCAGCATGCGAGGACGCAGTCACAGACATTGATTGTGTGTAAGAGGCCGACTGTGTGTGTCTTGGGATGAGAGAGCGAGAGAGAGAGAGAGAGAGAGCGAGAGAGAGAAAGAGAGAGAGAGAGAGTGCATCAGAGAAACGTATCTATGAGCACAATAGCGATCCTGAGGCCGGCCAGGAGGGTTGAGGAGAGATATGGTCACCATGATACAGGCATCCAGGCCATTCATCGGGGCTGAGGAGTTGCCCGAGGGGATCACATTTTTTGACTGAAGCAAAGACCCCCCCTTCCCCCCCCCCCACAAAAAAAGATGACTGCAGAGAAAATGTGAGAAGCTGCACTGTGGACGTCAGCGATGTAATAGCTCAGGTACCGACGCGTCCAAAGGAAGCACATGGGGAGTTTAACAAATGGCTCTTTAAATCCCCCCTTAACTCTCTCACACACACACACACACACACACACACACACACACACACACACACACACACACACACACAGTGTGCGGAAAGCACAGCCAGTCAAAGCAAAGGTAACCCAAACAGAGGTCTGCAGAGTGGGCCGGCTGAGCTGAGACCTCCATCCCCGGGCTTTAAGTACCAGGAGCAAAATCCGCAGCACGTATTTAATTCATTCAAATACTTAACCATTAAATGATGTTAACTACCGAGCTCCACTCTGGCAGCTCTGCCTCCACGGCGCGAGCGACTGCCCGCGACGTCGTCATTTAATCTGTGCCAACGTTCGGCCATTTGTGTGAAGTTCTTACAATTGGCATATTCATTGGTTTGGGGGAAGTCGTGGTGGCCTTGACCTCTGACCTGCGCATTCCAATCAGACACCAATCGACACCATCCGACCCGAATGCCTCCAAGATATGCGAGGCGTATCTTACAGCGCCGTCATTAACTGCGGCGACTCGGTTTTCCTGACGAACACAGAGCGCGAATCGGTCCGGTCGGCAGGAACGATGCGGCGTGTCGCGCTCACATCGAGGGGCCGTTCGTTGGACGCGTCCGCCGTCCGCCTAAACACCCGAGACGATCCGAATGAGCAATCTCTACCGACGGGAAAAGGAAGTTCAACCAGGAACAAAGCAAAGGACGGTCTCGTGGGAGGGTCGAGAGCGACGAGCACGAATAAAATCGAGACGCTGGAGAAACGAAGAGGAGAGAGCGACGCGCTGGATGATGGAATACACAAACGGTCGAGACCCCAAAAACATCGTCCCCATCATGGCCAAGGTCCTAGTTCTGTCCTTCCCGTTATTCCCCCACCGGCACATACGTGTGTGTGTGTGCATGAGGGGGGAGTCATTACTCCTGCCCCCACTTGATGGTTTTGGGTTAAACAACGTTATTATTAAAGCCTTTCCAGAGTAGCTTCCTTCCTCCCTCCGCTGACACGCTTACCAACTATAAATCAACCGCCTGAGCCCTGTAAATCACACACGTGTGCGTGTGCGTGTGTCTGGCCACTGCAGCTGTGATGAAGATCACACTGCAGCTGTGAGAGCAGCAGGAATCGCTTAATCGCTGACCCAATGGTCCTAAATATGTGACCGAAGTCTCTTTTTATGAGTTTAGTGAGTGTTTGTGAGGCCCACGTAGGAACGTCACACCAGAAACTTCTCTTGTTGGTGGTGAACCGAATCCTCAACAGCCGAAACAGCCGCGTAGGAACCTCGGACGACCAGCGCACATCTTAACGGAGACAAGCTCGTCTCTCGGGAGACCCGAGCAAGAAGCACACGGCTCTCCCGGGCGGCAGCGACGGCTCGTTGTGTGATGGTTTGTGATTGCGTTAACGCCCCCTGCTGGCCGGAAGGCATCGCTGCCCGGCGACGCCACTCAAGTTAATGAAACACCGCAATCAGGCCGACGCCCCCCACCCCCAGAACGTGCATCGCTCCGGCAAAAAGAACAACACCGACACCAGAGAGGAAACCAGCCTAGAAACAATACACTGAACTTGTGCATTCGTGTGTGTGTGTGTGTGTGTGTGTGTGTGTGAGAGAGAGAGAAAGGGGGAGACGGAGGGAGGGAGTCTAGACAGCCGCATCCCCACCAGGTCTCCTCCCTTGCTAAGGAGAGTGAGACATTTACATCGAGCCGCTGCCCGGAGACACTGCCGACCCACAAAAGAGCTATTGTGCGCCCACGGCGAAACAATACAGCTCAGCTGAGCTGTGAGGGAGGAGAAGGAAAAAAACAAAAAGAACACAGGGATCAATAGAGAATTGCAATTAGCCCACATCGGCAGCAGCAGTGCCAGATCAGACGCAGGATGTCGATTCCGTTTCCTGCACTATCGGGCCCCTCAAAACTCGGTGGGCTCGCCGTGGGACGGAGGCGGGACAAACGATGACGATGGCGATGATATTGAACAATGAGAAAAACACATTCTGGAACTTCGGGAGGAGCGTGAGGGGGAAAAAAAAGGCACGATCCGTGGCCACGTGGAAACATCTGACGAGATGTTCGAACGACCACGGCTACAGCCGACCGTTTCGAAGAGGCGGCTCCCCGGTTTCCCAAATTTCACAGCCCCACTTGACCACAACACCCGACGGGCGTCCGCATGGACCCAAAGCGTTTCCCTCCGAGCGAGGGGAGCTCTTACCTTTGCGTATGCCCCGGCCTCGCAGTACATCCCTTGAAATCAGCAGGGAGTAGAAGCTTCGAGAGAAGCCGGGTCGGCAAGGACCTTCGGAAGCGCGCTCGCCATTATTCCTCTGGAGGAAAGGGAACACAAAGCAAGACATCGATGAACATGGATTCCATCGATTGGTCGCTTCCTCTCTGGCCCTAAAGCCCGGGAGAGGAGAGGAGCGGCGTGTCGTACGGAGGGTAGCGGGAAATCGATTTCATCAACAAGTCCATAGACGGCATTCTAGCGGGAGAAGGCGCATGGCTCGGTACACACACACACTCGGACAATATCAGATTTAAAAAAAAAAAAAAAAAAAGGCTTTGCATGTAAAGAAACCAGCCAATGACGTGAGGGGATTCTTTAAGTGTAACAAGGGTTAAGTGACACACAGAAAACAGCAAGAATGCAGCAGAGGTGTCTTATCTTTAATGTGTTTTACACTGCGTGGTGGTGTGTGTGTGGTGGTGGTGTGTGCGTGTGTGTGTGTGTGGGGGGGGGGGGGGGGG